GAGAAAGTGTCTCACTATGTTGTCCTCACTGTTTGGTCAAGAACTCACAGACATTCTCCTGCCTCTGCCTCCCTGCGCTGGGATTAAAGACACGCACCACCATGCCCAGCTTTGTATCGTTTTTAATCATGTGCATATGTGTGCCTGTGTGGAGCATAGGCACTTTTGTACAATGCCTCGGGAACCCAGAAGAGGGCGTCAGAGCCTCTGGAATTGGAGTTACAGGAGGATGTGAGTCACCTGATATAGATGCTGGGAATGGAGCCTACATCCTGTGGAAGAACAATAAGTGCTCTTAACCCCGGAGCCATCGCTCCAACCCCCACACCTCCATCCTTGATGTTGGAAAATTATGTTTCCCAATCCTGCCCCACAAAATACTTTCGGTGCCCTGGCAAGGATTTAGTCAAGAACAGAAACGTGATTGAATGCTCCACCCTAGGAGGGTCATCTGTATCTCTGTATCAGTGCCCCAATGGCTCAAAATAGCTTAGAAGAGGTCATGGGAAGTACGTAAAAACTGTAGAGAGCATGCTCCTGTGTGTGTGTGTGTGTGTGTGTGTGTGTGTGTGTGTGTGTGTGTGTAAAATGTTGACTTCAGGACAAGCTTAGCGGTGGCACTTTTGAACCCATTGCAGCTCTGGTTACTTGTACAAGATCACCACAGGACAGGGCCTGTTGACATCCTGTTATGGAAAGGGGAGGGTATGGTGAGTCCCCACCCTCCCTGAGGATTTATACACACAGTAAATATTTGATTAAGGAAGGAAGGACATTTTCTTCAGACCCAAGCCACTGATAATATGCACATGAGGCTGTAAGCCAATTCTCACTCCTGCTTTTGTAGACACTCAAATGAGACTCACTGAGGCAAAAAGAAGAAAAAAAACCAAACCCACCAAACCGAAAAACAACCATGAATGTAGAAGGGGGACTGGCTGGGAAGAGGACAGACATCACTGGGAACAGGGGGAGGACTTGAAAAGGTACCGGCTGGGCGTGAATACAATAAAAACACATGATGTTCATGTGTGCAAATGTCATAATAAAACGCAGTATTATGTCATCAATGGATAGGAAAAACGCTGAGTGTGGTGGTGCATGCTTTAATCACAGCATTGAGGAGGCAGAGGCAGGCAGATCTGAGTGCAAGGCCTGCCTGGTCTACAGAGCAAGTTCCAGGTCAGCCAGGGTTACACAGAGAAATACTTTCAAAAACAAAAACAAACAAAAAGTATATATGCTAATAAAAATATTAAAAAAGAAACCTGTTCACAGAAGAATTTCAGTCTGTATGTTAATAAGAATAGCTGCAGTGATCATAGACAGCCCACATGCTGTCTTAAAATTGATGGAATTATTATTTTTTAAAGATTTAGTTTTATGTCTATGTGTGCCTGAGTCTCTGTATATGCACATGTGCAGAAGGGTATTCTTGGAGTCCAGAGAATTGTTTTGGAATCCCTGGAACTGTAGTCACAGGTGGTTATAAGCCCCCTGTGGCTGTAGGAACCAAGCCCAGGTCCTCTGCAAGAGCAGCCAGTGCTCTTAACCACTGAGTGGTCTCTCCAGACCCAGATGAGATTATTTGGAAACCAGGAGGCTTTGCAGTTGAACCTGACATGTAGCAGTGTGTTCATTCCGCTTCTACTACTGAAGCCATGGGGGAGAGGAAAGCACTTGTCAGAGTGCAACAGGGTTGACCAGCCACTGATGCACAAGAATGTGTGAAGGGAAGATCTGTGGGTCCTCCAGACAGGAGGCTGGCACAGGCTGTTCCCTGCTCTGCTTGCTCTTTCTCGGTAGTCCTGGCAACCAGGAACGGGTGAGTGTGGACATTTGTACCCAGGAAGAGAACTGCCTGACACTGCAGTGCTTAGATTTGGGGTTCGGTGTTGCAGGAACAGCTACAGAACTATCCTTGCACTCCAAGAGTGTGTCATGCACAGGAGGGCTCGGCTAGTTCTGTCTGTAATCAGCAGGTCTTGATGCTGATTGGCTGTGGATCTGAAAGCCTAGACAAGGAAGAGTGTTTCCTGTGGGTGCCTGTGTTCAGCCCTCCTAACTCCCTTCCTAATGTATCTACAGGTTGCCCCATTGCTCACCAACATGGAAGAGGTTGTTGGGTCTGTCGAGGATAAAGAATTTACATGCTTCTCCGATGCTATATCCATTCACAAAAACAGCAATATTTTATCTGTGGAAGTTGTCAAGAATATTGAGACTGCTGTGAATGAAGGAAAGTTGGGAGAAGTGGTCTCCATAGTCAAAGATATCAGTCAGGAAGTATCCAAGAGCACAGTGAAAATTGCTGTGACTGGGGACTCTGGCAATGGCATGTCATCCTTCATCAATGCCCTTAGGCTCATTGGACATGAGGAGGAGAATTCAGCTCCCACTGGGGTGGTGAGGACCACCCAGAAACCAGCCTGCTACTCCTCCTCCAGATTTCCCAATGTGGACTTTTGGGACCTGCCTGGCACAAGGGTCACAGTCCCGAGTATGGAGAACTACCTGAAGGAGATGGAGTTTGACAAATATGACCTTATCATCATCATCATCCCTTCTGAGCAGTTCAGTTCAAACCTTGTGAAAGTGGCCAAAGCCATGCAGAGGATGAGAAAGAGGTTCTATGTCATCAGGACAAAGCTGGACAGGAGCCTCGGTCCAAGTGCCCACTCAGAACCCCAGCTACTGCGGAGTATCCAGGAGAGTATTCAGGAGAACCTCCAGAAGGAGGGGGTGAAGGTGCCCCCCATATTCCTGGTATCCAGCTTTGAGCCTTCATCACATGACTTCCCGAAGCTCAGAGACACACTGAAAAAAGACATTCCCTGCATCAGACATTATGGTCTCTTAGGAACCCTTTTCCAAATCTGCGAGAAGACTATTAATGAGATAGTGGAATCCATTAATAGGAGCATAGATGAGGATAATCTAAAAGCTATTGGAATCTCAAATCCAGATAATCTGAGAGAGTGTCAGCAATTATTCAAAGAAAAACTTGGTGTGGATGACAGATCTCTCCACCAGGTGGCTCTGATTATGAACCAGCCTGATGTTTATTCCAGGGATGCCAAGCAATCCCAGGTTACACAGAGAGACCAACAATATGGCTGGACTCAGTCTCAGCTTTATCGTTCCAGAAATGAATGTTTCTATACAAGGTTTAACGACAACATCAGTTGCCGTTTTGACTCTCGCCGTCATAGACACATGAGTCAGAAACATGTGCTTGATGAAGTTGCTAAACAAACCAAGAAAATTCTATGGGAAATCCTGAAACAGTCCATTATCCTTCCTCAGGAGGGCTAGACAACTGAGGTCCCCTAACCAGCTCTGTACCCTACGTCTACCCGAAGTTGAGCTTACCTGAGATGTGGATTCCAAGTTCCTTGAGGTTAATGGTCCACATTTCTTGATGGGTGTCCCCCCACATGGAAACACCATAATGGATTTTGCTTTGTACCTTTGTTTAATTTTATTAACTGAACCAACTGGATACCAATATAGGAGAAACTTCCTTATTTTGACTGTACAGAATCTCACCTTTGACACACGGTTTCCTTGCACCTATGGTAGATATTGTTTCTCTAAGAGGCCTCTTGGTTTCCCATCTCTCTTTCCCCTCTCTTCCTCTTTCCTGTCTGGGGAAGCAGTGCATCCCTGGGGGAATGAGGAAGAGCTTGCTGTTGTCCAAGGTCTGAAAGCATGGCTGGTAGAGGCCTGGTCTCTGACCTCTCCTCCCATGTGTAAAGAGAGGGGAATTAACTCTGGACCACTGGAAATGGGATTCACCAAGTGCTGAAGGGAAGAATTCTAAGTACCCAACACTGCCCCCAATGGCA